CATAAACATGGGGGGAACTAGCTGAACCTTTGGAACAAACATAAGGGGAACTGGTTGAAACTTGGGGGAACTGAAATTTACTGTAAGCAGTGATCAGGATTAGCAATTACAATGAGTTTTTACAGTGCATTTGCAGTAGATTTAGACTGGAAAATTAGAAGAAAAAAGTAATTACAGTAAAGACAGTAGAATTACTCAATTTACAGTGTAAATTACATAGAATAAATTCTAAGACTGGAATTTCGACTGTAATTATACCGGAATTTACCTATTACCATGTATATTTTTGGTTTTGATTGATCTAGGTTATTACCACGTATATTTTTGGTTTTTGTTGATCTATGATTTTCTCATTGATTATGAAAAGAGACGCCGTGTCCTAATTACTCTCTCTCTCTCACACACACAAAAGCGACAACACATACATAATAGGCCAATGCAGTAGAACCGTCCAGCGGTGCATCTCCCTGACATCTCGTGGCGACACGCATTCACCAAGCGGCCATGGCAGCCTGTTGTGACTTGCAAGCTGCACCTTCCTGGACCACGAACATCAGGTGGCATTGGACGAACTAATACCCCTGGTACGTCCCGGTCTTTCTCCTCTGCATTCTACCATGTCGCCCTCGGTTTCCCCTCGAATAAATCTTCACCCAAACGAACTTCAAAATAAACTGTTGGCCGAGAGTTGCAACTCACCGCGTCACCCTCAGTTGGTGGGCATCATTTATGTCGATGCTGCTCTTCACGCTACTCAACTTGATATTTGGGTGGGGGCCACGGCATTGGCGTTCGTGAATGAATGAACGCCATGGCCGAGGTTGTTGGAGCGCGGCATCGAAGCCTATGAAAGGAAGCAACGCACCGTAGTGTGTTATTCGGCTAGGTATGTAATTTATTCTTTGAGATACCGGTGCCGTTCTTCTCATTCGTTTTGTATGCTTTCGGTACGTAAAGACCAAACACGAGTTCCTTTGTGCCCATGGGATCAGGCTGTTCCAGTTCGTAATAGACAGCTAGAAGGTGCAAAAATTGGATGGGAAGCTCCAGCCGTTGGCCCCCCAGGAGGCAGGGCGAGCCGCCGGACGAGGAGGAAGACCCCCCGATCTTCATGCGCCTCGGGGCCCAGGAGCTTCCCCGGCGGCGTGAGAAGGAAGGGGGAGCGGGGTACTCGAGGCGCAGCGTGTTGTCGCCCTCGATGTACTCGAGGACGGCCTTCAACGTGCGCCCGGGCACGCCCCACCACCGACGCCGGCCGGCGGAGTTGAGCCTGCCGGAGGGCTCTACATCGTTGGTAGCCTCGAGCTGCTGGGCGTGACGGCGGCGGAAGTAAGGCTCCCAGAGTGGGCTGTCGAGGACGTACCGCGGCCCCTTTCTCGCCGCCCGCGGCAGGTTCGAGCGGATGCGTGCGATCTCCGCACGCCGCGCCGCGCCGGTGGGCACCGGGGGCACCGGCACGCCGCCGACGCTGATCCTCCACGCGCCGGGCACCAGCATGTCCGGCGGGACCGGGTACTCGGCCTCGTAGAGGAGGCGAGCCTCGTCCTCGTGAAGATGGCGGCGGCCGTTCGCCGCCGCGCCGTCGCCTGGGTAGCGCTCGGCCATGGGTGATGAACTGGAGACGGCGAGAGAGAGGAGAGGAGGAACGACGACGGCGAGAGAGTGTGATTGCCGAGCACGCTGGTGCGCGTCTTATATAGACCGAGGCGCCGCCCGTACGCGTGTCCGCCGTGTGCACGCGTGGCGGGCGAGGGAGGCCGAGGGACGCGCGTCATCCAGCCTTCACTGCGCCGCCCGTGAGGCATCAATGGCGCAGGCTGACCGGCGCGGCAGCGCGGCAACTTTGGCATTGATTCGCCGCGGGAAACGAGGCGATGAGGACGACGAAGGGCCGAGAAGAGAGCCGTGTCGCTGACGCGGCGGGCCCGCGGCTTTTTCGCGCCAAAAAAGTTCGCCCGGCGCCCCCGGGCGCTCCCCAGCGCGCCGGGTTCGGCCTGGGTCCGCCGGCGCTGTTTTCGGCCCAAGCCGGCGAAAATCGGGCTTCTGGGGGCGCGATTGGGCCGATTTTTCGGCGCCGGCGCAAAAAAAACGCCTAGGAAGGCTTTTCTGGGGGCGCGGCTGGAGATGCCCTTATGATATGGACATCCTTGGCTAAATTTACTCAAAGCTATTTACATATGTCTAATTATTGGAGTCTATTTTCTTCACCCGATATTCATTAATCCACGGTTTTACTTGCTTCTATAGCTTCATACTATATATGAGATTCGTATTATTTATCCATTCTTGGTTTTTTTGGAGGTTCTACTTTCTCTTAAGAAAAGTTCATTGTTGATGTAGGTGTGGCCTCACTGCCCACCCCAGTTTTATGCTCGGTGATGTTTTACCTCTCCTTTCCCTCTGTCTCATGTCCTTAGATTGTTTGTACATGGGGCTAAATGGCAGTTTGATTGTGTAAAAAGGTATGTGAGTTCCTTAGAAAAAGCATTGGCGCTTGGAATATATATGTGAAACTATTATCTTATTTGGCTATAAGACATTTCAGATCGACTATGGCCGGATGTGCGGCGAGCGGGCGTGGGGAGGCGTGCGCAGCATGGTTACGGCAGGGAGGCCGCGGATCTGGCGGCTCCGCGCGTTTTTGAGAGGTGCGGCGGCTGCTGCACCACGACGAGGAGCCGGTGGACGTCGACCGGAGATTGTGTGCTGCGCAGTGCTTCGGATCTGCTCGGATTCGAAGGTGTGGAGGAGCTCCGGGCGAAAGTCCAGCACTGACTTTGGGTCGATGCCGGCAACAGCGGCGCCATGGCCATGGTGCCGTTCTCCTTCTTGAAGGTGTAGCCGTGGAGCTCCATTACACGACTCTCCGGGAGAAATCTTTAGCTTCGGATGGTCGAAGCGGGCGATGCCGACGGCTACGTTGTTCCCTTCTTTGAGGCATCGCCTTGGAGAGTCAGCATATTGCGGTTTGCACGGATCTCTTCGTCGGCGGGGACAGTGGACGTCGGGGCGGCGGCTCCGAGTGGTTTTTGTTTGTGCGCCGAGATGGCGATCTCGGGAACAATGCGAGTGGCGGCTCTATGAGGTGGGGCTCGCTCTCGACATTGGTTGGGTGGCATCCTTGTCCCACTTGGGCGGTGGGGGTGTCGGCTCGGTCGATGCGCCCCAGAGGGGGCGGTCTGACTCTACGTCGGGGCGGCGGCCTCGGATGTGGTGCAATGTTCGTGGTCTGCGAGAAGTTGCCCTAAGCATCGTGGGCTACGGGCAGCTGGGCTGTGCGGCGTTGCTGCTCGAGGAGAGCGGTGGTATGTCGAGGCGGCGGCCTCGGAAGGCGGTGCTGGTGGAGAGCGCTGGGCGCGACGGAGCGGTGGATGTCGGGGCGGCGGCCCCGAGAGGATCTCTGTGGCGACCAGGCTTCTGTGGCAACGATGATGGTGGGAGCGATACCAGGCTTCTCCGGCGTGTCCGCGGTTTTGCTTCGGTTTGTTTGTTGTTGTGGAGTCGAAGCTGCGGCGGCGGGGCCCTGTGGTATACGATGACTGGCTGCAAGTGGCCCGTTCGGCGATTTTCTGTGGCACCAGCTTCCGCATGATTTTGTTCTTCTGAGTTCTCCGTCAGAGTTGGAGTTGCGTTGTCTGGCTCTTCTGAGTTCTCCGTCAGAGTCGGAGTTGCGTTGTCTGACCGCAGGTCGACATGTTATCGATTAGGGTAGGCTTTGCCCTGAGTGCTTTTGTCTCTGGGGTGGGCTTGACTCTTGTTGTTCTGATTTTTGCCCGATTTTTCGTAATTAACTGGACAATTCTCTTCTGCTTAATTAATAGATGAGGCAATCTTTGCCTCCGTTTCAAAAGAAAAAAGATTAAACACGTAGATTGGCAGTAAAGTTTCTCCAAGATCTCTTGCTAACGAAACTCTTCCCTTGCATGTACGAATGTACATGGTCTTGTTATGTGCATAAACAGATATCAGTGGCCAAGAACAATTATCAAACTGGTGATTGACCGGAAATGACAAATCTATCTATAAATATAGATATACCAGTGGCCAAGATCTAAAACACACACACCTCTAACACTATTTCACTTCGCACACTACCAGACTTTCAATGGCACAACCAACCATCTTTCTGTCCCAACTCCTCCCCGTTGGTGTTGGTGGTAGTTTGTCCGGATCCTTGGCATAGTAAGCGATGTTGTCACAACTCCTCCACTCTCTTTCACGTGGAAAGAAACTTCCTTGCATGTTGCTATGACCTCCCTATAGCTTCTACAAATAAGAAAGTACAAGGACCTGCATGAACGTGCTAAATATACAGATACTTTCACGCCATCAGCTCGCTTTCAAAGCGCATTGTTCTCGTTTCCCTCATTACAAAAGCAAAACAGACGCACACAAACAGGCTTTGATGGGCGCGGCAGCCTTTGCGCGCTAGTATGTAAAACTTGTGTTAAGTTACTGGGAACGAAACTGATATGACTTAATGGATAGGGCTAGTAGAATACTCCTAGTGGCCAAGTGGCACATAAACAGAAAACCACAGAGGTGGCTGATAAAATCAAATGACGCAGGCGGTTGCAGGCACATACTCAAATCATCCATCTAATAGACTAGTAGTACTATACTACTGTACTCCCTCCGTTTCTTTTTACTCCGCATATAAGATCACAAAGTTTGACCAAATTTATATAAAAAAATATGAACATCTACAATACTGAAACTATATAGTATGAACATACGTTTCATGGTGCATCTGATAGTATTGATTTCATATTGTGAATGTTTATATTTTTTAATATAAAGTTAGTCAAACTCTACAAAACTTGACTTTGACCAAACCTTATATGCGGACTAAAAAGAAACGGAGGGAGTACTTTGTAAGAGCTACGAATCTGATCTAGTTCAGTATTCATTGCAGCAGCAAAAGTGCTGGAATCCATGAAAAGGCATCTTGAAGAAATGGAAGCTCCAAGGACGAAAAGCCAGGCCCAATATGCATCTTCTTAAACCTGCAAAAGTAAAATCATACAATCGCTGTTAGGGTGTGCATATAATTTGGTTACCTTTGACAGAAAAGATATCAAGTTATATGCAATTATAAACAAAGATTAGGATAGTATACCTCGGTAATCAATCTTATAGCTTTGGCAATGCGTATCTTCTTTCTGATATACTCGTCAAAGAATTTGGATTTTATCCTCTGTAAATAAATGATTTTTTCTTAGCGTAACGGTACCTTTGAAATAATATGTATACATATATATCATATCAAGATGCAATTTCTTTCGAGTACAGTACCAGCTTTTTAACTTTCTCTGTAATCAACTCCTGAGCTTTCTCCTCTGATACCTAAGGCAATCAGACGTGAAATCAAATCAAATATAAGAACATTTAATCCATTGGATCAATCCCACACGCATATCACAGTACTTACTTCCTTGGGAACACTTGCCGTGCAATGAAGAAACTGAAAAGGTGAAGAAAAGAAGCAAAAGAGATAAGCATGCACGTTACAAATTCTGGGCTTACAACTATCTGTGAAGCAAAAGAGATAAGCATGCATGTTGCAAATTCTGAGCTTACAATTATCTGTGAAGAAGAGCCTACCTCTAGTTTCATAAGGGAATGGTCATACTCTATGGCATACTTGATGCTATCTTGCCGCGACGGACACTTGTTCAGTAAATAGACTTCCTTCAAAGCATTTTCGAAACTCTCCTGTGCATTGTTGAGAAATGAGAATTACATGGATACTCAAAAAAAAAACAAGCATTACTGTATACATATACAGGGTTCATAAGCAACACGAATTAATCAGAATTACATGGATACTCAATAAGTGTGAAGAAGACTGGGTTACAATACTGAATTAATCAGAATTACATGCATACTCAATAAGTGTGCAGAAGACCGGGTTACAATACTGAATGCTAACCTTTTGTTGAGTGACTCGCTTCCATATCTCGAAATGGAGACCATCGGATCCGTTACACCACCTAGCCTCAATGCCCATGTAAGTAAGACAATCCTGCATCGAAATAATCAAACTGTTAAATGCAAAACCATGCCAAAATTAAGTTAGTGATTATGCTAGAGATCATACACTGAAGCCAATACGAACTAAATGAGTTGTGATCTTGGGAAAGCGAGTGGCAATCTTAGTTGCTTGATAAATTCCTCTGGTCCGTATTTTGCTTGCCTAAAGAACAGAGGAAATACCATTGATAACGTAACATATACAGAAAATTGCCATTCCATGATTTTTGTGCAGTCATGTACTTACAGTAGGAGAAGTATCGTTAACCGGTAGACAATCTTTCAACCACTGTATCAAGATAAAAAGAGAGGTTGTTAGTCCCATAATAAAAATCTAATGATTGCAGGAATGCTAGTCTTGCTTGATTTTGCGACGCACACCTTAAGTTCCCTTAATAATGTTTCAAAGTACTCGATGTATTCATGTTGCATCTCATAGCTATGAAAGTAACTGCGGTACAACTCCCAATCAGCATACTCCCAATCAAAAACAGCACCCTACATGAAAATGAAGGGAAAGAGGAAACATGATTTAGAATGACAAATAACATATGCCTTAATTAATATAATAATATAAATAGAGAGAAGATGACAAAAACAAGGTTTGATACAGGACAAGCAAAAATGTACTAATATTCGTAAAAGAGTATGTTGGTTCTCTTTAAAAGAAAATATTAAGTCACAGTACCATTTCCAACAGAAAAATATGCATAGAACTACTTTAGCAAAAGAAATATGAGCATCAAGAAAGGTAATAAAGCGGAAAGAAAAATATCCTGGTTGGCACTATGTTGAAGTAGTTAGCTGGCCAGTTTTTAACAGAGGCCGATAACTCAATGATGTACCTTTTCCAGCATAAAACATTATGAAATGGACCATCTAAGGAAAAGATAATTAACACCCAGTAAACATATCATGAACTCATCAATAACTCCACATAAATTGCTCTGTAATGTAGATCCTTACATAATAGATAACTTTTAAACCCTTTCTGAAAACAGGCCACGCAGATCATTTGTGTATATCATGGTGTTGAAATTATGATGAATGGTTCTAAATAGCCATACTAACACAGTGGAACACCAAAGGCAATTAAATGATTACAGGAACACTCAATGATCAGTTTATATACGTACATGATCCCGAGGCACTAGACGCTGGTAGTCATTCAGGCAAGCAAGCTTGCAGAGTTCAGGGTGGAAGAACCAGTCTAATACACCTTCTTCCTCCAAGAACCTAAAATATTGCATCTTCACGAGGAAATCTGTAGGAAATTCGTCCCTGTCAAGAAGCTCCACAGGGCAATCTTTCAGTTTATCATGGCACAACTCATTCTTAGACTCCTTTTGTGACAACTGCAGTCAATGATATCACCATTGGAATTAGATATGGATTATGAGATAAAAAACAGCATAAGCAGGATAGAACAAACTAACATCAATTCGCAAAACGCAAATGTATGGATTGATCCTTGAACAGCATTTGATGACTGAAAAATAGAGGCATGGATGGATGAAACCTTGTAGGATCTGATGCGATACACCGCGTGGCGGATGTCCATGTCATAAAGATCTGTATCATCCAATCTGATGGAAGTATCAACGGAGGGGTCGGAAGGCAGATTCATCAAGCATTTATAGTACTCCTCAAAGCCAATATCATCTCGCACTCCCAACTTGTTCAACTTTTGGGTTATGTACTCCACTTCTTTATCTATCTTGATTGCGGCAGATTCTTCCCTCTGTTCCGGGGTGGCAACAGTGTTGCCATGGTCGTTAGTATCGATGGGACGACTGGTACATTCATCGGAACAGTGGGAACTCGTTCTTGCTTTGAGTAGTGTAGTGGTTCTTTTCGCTGGAAAAGACGCATTGCCTTTCGTGTGCTTTTTCTCTCCGGCAAGATGTGCTTCAGTTTTGTGCTTCTTCTCTCCAGCAAGTCGTGCTTCAGTCTTGACAGGCCGCTGGATACCCTGCGTCTGCCCGCGGAGTTGATCAGGGGGGCATGTCTTCTCCTTTGCATTATGCGCCTGTGGAATCAGGCCTGTACCCACCTTCTCCCTTTGCTTCAGCGACATCTCTCCGGCAAGACTCTTGACAGGCCGCTGGATACCCTGCGTCTGCCGGCGGAGCAGATCAGGGGGGCAAGTCTTCTCCTTTGCATTATGCTTCTGATGTATTGAGGTTGTATCCCCCTTCTCCCCTCGCTTTTGCGACATCTCTCTACGGAAGCCCATAACCAGCGATGATGATCTCTCCTTTGCACTATCCAAACCCCTCTGTCGAATTCGATCCGGAGGTGCTAAGTGCTCCTGCACGATGTTCTCGTCTGCGAGGACATGCTTCGGCCCCATCGCGCCGCAAGTAGCCGCCTTATCCTTTGCGTGGTACGGCATCGCGCTCGCGGCCGCCTTGCCCTTTGCGTGGTGCGGCGTCGCGCTGGTAGCCGCCTTGTCCTTTCCGTGACACCGCTGCATCTCTCCAAACCCTAACCAACAACGGAGGTTGAACACACATCATCGATAATGTTAACAAAAAAAATCCAAAAAAAGGGGGTATAAGGTCAGAGGGGTACCGGCGGTGGCGACCCGACGGCAATCTCGGCGACCGCCGCGGAGGTGGCTACGAGACAGAGCGAATCGATCTGAGACGAGCCAAGGAGACAAGACGCGCTAGAAGAAAACTCGGAGGCCCGAAGCGTCGCGGGAGGAATAGGAAGGGGAAGAACGGGAGGAAGATCTTTGAATCCGTATAAACCTGTAGCAGCAGCAGCCGCCGCCGCGTGGGTCGAGACTCGGGAGCGAGGTAGGACAAGAATCGATTTCTCTTTTTTTTTAGGAAAAAAGGAATCGATTTCTTTTATTTGGGGACGGAGGAGGCCGCAGGTCAGTATCGGATATCCTTTTCCCTGGCGTGTATGAGATGATCTCCTCTGGGCCGGGTCAGATTCGATACTACTCCTCCGGTTTTCGGGCTGACCCATTAAAGAATAGGGAGCTGCACCTAATGTGTTCTCGCGTTATTTCTATCGGGGTTTTTTATATTTCTGTTCGTTTTCTTTTATATACTTTTACAAATTTCAAAAAAAATGTTCAAGAATTTAGAAAATATTTGTGCATTTCAGAAATGCCCAGATATTGAAGAAAAAAGTTCACATATCCAAAAAAGTGTTCACAAATTCAAAACATGTTCGTCATTTTAAAAATGTTCGTGATTTTGAAAAATGCTCGCAATTCCAAAGAAGTTCATGAATTCAAAATACGATTGCGTATTTAAATATTCTTGCAAATTCAAAAAAGAATGTGAGTTCAGAAAAATGTTCTCAAGTTCAACAATTGTTCGTGCATTCAAAACAAAAATTAAAAGAGTTCACCAATTGAAAAAAAACTGCAAATTTCAAAAAGTTGTTTGCATACTAAAAAAATGTTTCTCTCCCAGTCTTTCTAGTTCTCACCCTCCCAGAAAAGAAGGGAAAGATTGCGATGTCTGTGAATTCAAATAAAGATTGCGAGTACGAAAAATCTTCGCGGGATTGGAACGATGTCTGTGAATTCAAATAATGTTTGCATATTAAAAAGATGTTAGCAAATTCAAAATAGGTAGGAGAAAATAGAAAAGTATCATCAAATTTAAAAATGTTCATAAATTCAAAAAAATACAAATTCAAAAAGTGCTCATGGAATTGCCAAAATATTCGTGAGTACAAAAAAAATTACGGGATTTTGAAAATGAAAAATGCATAAAAACGACATAAAAAAGAAATGCTGGAAAGGGAGTCTCTAGTTGGGTCGGCCCATGCGCAGCCGCACTTATGGTGTACGGGATAGGTCGCTGTCGTGTGGGCTTCGTATTGGGAAGCGCTAGGCATCAGACTACTGCAAATTTGCACCTATTAGACTAATCCATAGCCAATGGATAGGAAAGTGTTGGAGCGTGGGATTAGAACGCCCTGTTACGTGGGAGTTTCCACCTGATTAGGAGATAAGTCCTTGATTGATTTTATCACTTTCCTTACTAATTGCTTCCAGAAAAATCTGCCCTAATTAACTGCTCCCAAAAAATCCGTCCTAATTAACTCCTTCAAGATCCATTTTATGTTCCAATATAGATTCTAATTTTTTTTGCGTATATTGTTTGTTATTTCTTAGAACTGGATGTTTGAAGCAAAACATTGGAACATAGGCTATTCAAAATCTGAGTGCTTGAAGCACAGTACACCAATGTTGGAAGCATAACTGATTAATGCAGAAGGAGAAGTGTATCCAGCCATGTATGAAGCGTGATGCACCATTGTAGGAAGCATGATTAGTGTGTAAGAAAAACTTTGTGCCTTATCTTCTCATACTCGTTGTTTCCATCGTATGCTCCGATTCCATAGGTCCTTCGTATGCGTGATATTATTTGGGCGTGGAAGCACTTGTGTGGTGGTGAGCTAGGTAGGAAGCACATACTGTGATAGGTGGAAACATGGTTTACTAAAATTGAAAGCATATATTACTTGAACTGTGTACATAAAGGACTTGTGTGGTAGTAAGGACTAGGAATTGAACCATTCATTCAGTTTCGTGCTTCCACGTCAATCGGAGATTCTTTCGATTTGGCAAAATCTTATGTATAGTGCACCATTTCTATTCTTTTTTGTTTCTGGCACAATGAAGATGTATTTTAGAGAACAATAAATTGTTTCCAATGTTCCATTAAATTGCTTCCTAGGAAACAAATATTTCTTATCAAGTAGTCTTATTTACCATTGAAACTACATTGGTTTAAAACCAAAAATACTAATGCTTCCAAAGAAATGACAATATGCGTCCAAAGAAATAACAATTTCGGACACTACCAAGTCGATGGCCGACATGCTTCCTTTTCAGTGTTGGCCATGCTTGCTACTGATGCTAGTTATGCTTCCCTGTGATGATAGTCATGCATTTTTCAAATGGTGGGTGTTTTTCCTTCCATCACCACGTGGTGAGCGGCATCAAGGAGTGACATGAATAGAGAAAGGCCAACGATGCCATTAGCTAAGGTCCTCGTTGAAAACAAAGTAGTTCAGTTGAGAATGCGAGGCATGGTTTCATGTAGCTAGGCGCAGGAGCTCCCGTCGTTTGATGATCCCTACCCGATGCATGTTGAGCGTCCATGCTAGGATGGCGTCAGGTCCAACTACTGAGGGGACGACATCCCGATGTGGAGTATCATGGAGTATATCATGTGACGGTTGGCACCACAATACCATCTACTGTGGTGATGCAAGTGCGAGGACCTTGTCCCTCGCACCATCGCCATATGGACAGAAGTGTTGCTTCTTACAAACTTCTTCTTTGCTTCCTGTAATCCAAGTACATAATCATGCGATGGAGCTAGCAAAATCTTATGAACAAATCAAAGATAAATGGATAAGAACTCTACATACTACAATGCTTCAACGACGGAAATATCCCTACGGAAAAAAGAACAATACCTAGGTCAGAACCTGTTGGGAACGCAATAATTTCAAAAAAATTCCTACGATCACGCAAGATCTATCTAGGAGAAGCATAGCAACGAGCGGGGAGAGTGTGTCCACGTACCCTCATAGACCGAAAGCGGAAGCGTTTTATCAACGTGGTTGATGTAGTCATACGTCTTCACGATCCGACCGATCTCAACACCGAACGTACGACACCTCCGTGTTCAGCACACGTTCAGCTCGATGACGTCCCTCGTACTCTTGATCCAGTTGAGGCCGAGGGAGAGTTCCGTTAGCACGACGGCGTGGCGACGGTGATGATGAAGTTACCGGTGCAGGGCTTCCCCTAAGCACTACGACGATATGACCGAGGTGTGTAACCGTGGAGGGGGGCACCGCACACGGCTAAGAGAAACTTTGATGTACCTTTGGGGTGCCCCCCTCCCACGTATATAAAGGGGGGAGGGAGGAGGAGGCCGGCCAGGAGGAGGCACGCCCAAGGGGGGGAGTCCTACTCCAAGTAGGATTCGCCCCCCCCTTTCCTACTTCCACAAGGAGAAGGGGGGAAGGAGAGGGAGAAGAGACTGAAAGGGGGCCCGACCCCCTAGC